TACTCAAAATCAGCCTCCTCATCTCAAGATAAGGCAGTTTACCTAAACTCAGATCAAGTAGGGAGTGTAGAGCCGTGGGAAACTCGCTTCTGCTCGAAGAGGTTAACTTGCCTTTTTTTAAGTTAAACACTCCATGGCATAAGCACCCAACAACAGCTTGCCATGGGAGTAAGAGGTGCCACAGAAAAGCCACTTCCCTGCAAGATAAAGGGTTACAACCTGAAAAGCATGTGCCAAGCATTCAAGAAAATGTGACTTTGGGCTGAGGGAGTGCAAAGCACAGCCAACCTGTTTGTTGACTAGAGGAAAAAAGCACAAAGAGCCTAGAGAGGGTCAAAACAGAAAAGGACACGGAGGCTGTAGAGCTACGTTACCGCCCTCAACCCGTCCTCTTAGTGCAGATTGAAAGTGATAAATATGCATGAATTTGGCTTCAGTAGTCAAGGCTTTGTATAATATATCTAAAGCTTCTGGGTATGTTGTGTGTTAAAAACTGAATGAGTAGAAAGTAGGAACATTTTCATATATCAGGGGTGTCCAATCCTGGTCCTCGTGGGCCACTGTCCTACATGTTTGACTTGTTTTTCTGCTTCAGCACACCTGATTCAATGGTCTGTAGAGAATCACACATTGATTCAAACCAGGTGTGTTGGAGCAGAGAAACATCTAAAACATGCAGGATAGCGGCCCTTTAGGTCCAGGATTAGACACCATATAATCCCAACTTTTCTTTGATGGTATGCTTCCCATTGTCTCAAATGCATCCAATAAAAGTAGTTTCTAGATGTCAGGTTCCAAGGTTTTCATAAAAATGAGTTCACTTGGAGACTTGTGCTGCATCACAGCTGCTCATAAAACTTACATTTGTTCACCCACAATCTTGGACAAATACTAGTTCTACTTTCTATGCTTGTGTCCACATTGATGCATGGCTGTACAACATGTCAGTCTGAAACCATAAGCGCATTTGACAATTCAAACATGTGAATCAGTTTTCAATACCGATCATATGTAGAGATGCACAAATAACTCCTATTAAAACTATATTGGCAGGATCAGCGTAGTGTTGAACCCAGACGGACACCGAGGAACTCGAAGGTAAAATAAACAACTCTTTTTATTTAACTGAACTCTAAACCAAACAGCTGACGTGGCAGAAAGAACTTGCAAATAAACTGAGAACAGGGAGACATGGAGGAAATGGAGCAAGACGGCTAAGGGGAGCACAGGTTGGAGTGGTAGGAGCTGACCACATGGGGGGGAAACACCAGGAAGAATGAACAGATGATACAAGAAGATAAGACAAACACATGTTCTCTCACATGTGAAATTGTTTATTGTTCTTTAAATTTTCTTGGGCTGCCTAGTTGCGGTAAAACACCTAAATAACGCAGTTAGGTCAAAGCACCTAAACTAGGTGACCAAACTGAATGGATAAGGTGACAAACCTAAACTATGTACTTGGTTATGTTATAGGTGTGTAGTGAACTTAATCTGGTGTCACGACTAAGCCTAAGGTCAAAACCCTTGACCTTAAGAACCTTGTGGGACAGGAACTGTCATTTTATTGATTTGAATCCAGAAATACAGGTTCACCCATCCTGAGACTTTCTTTCTTGAAGATTCAAGTGAAAAGAACACTCTCTTTTATTATCATTACTATTTTACAAATGTTGATAATCAAAGTGTCTTAGTTCAAACCATTTTAGAAGTTGCAGTGAACTAATCAATTTTATTAACTGTGTAATGATTTTTATTCTCATGCAAAGTTAGAACTCATGTCAAAGCTGTTACAGAGTAATTATGCATTTTCTGATTTCTGCCTTTGAATGAGCAAGTGTACGTTTCCAAGGTTGGAGTCAAACGCAAAACAAGTGTTGGAACGAACTGTCATGTTTTTAGAATCCTCTCAGACGTAAATATAGAGGTTTTTGGCACCTGTTTCTAAACTCGCCAAAACAAAACTCTCTCTGTCTGTGAGAACATTTCTGATCTGTTTCATAACAATTCTTGCTGTCTTCTAACCTCTTACGTCACAAAACACACCCCGTCTGGTTGTTTCTGACCAATGGGAATACTCCCAAAAGTGAACCGGGAGAGAGATCTTAAAAATGTCGGAACCTCCTGGTCTACTCAGTTCTGGGACAGTTCTGTTCAGTTCTGATGGAGTGCTGTTGGAGTTCTGCTGGATACACAGTTCAACCAGTTCTGTGAGAGAAGCCCAGTTCTGGGAGACGGGAAGATCCTGACATGACAACAGAGCTCTTCCGAGTCATGGGAATATAACACTTTCCACTCGCCACTACTTCTGACAAGCTACAGCCATCCGAAGGAGACGCTGGACAGGTAGCGTTAACGGAACTCTATATCTGCTGATTAATCTCAGAAAGGTAATGAGTCAAGTTTCCTACCAAGCGTACCGAGGTGAGCTGGGTTCTGATGGAGAGTGTCGGTTCTGGTGAACACTTCCCCTCACATACCATCTTTACTCCCTTTAACTTCTTTCCCTTTAAACTTTCCTCTCAAGTAGAAATTCTTCCAGATATTTTAGAAATGTCTGTGTAAAGTGCTCATCCACATCCGTGTGGGTAAAAGATCATAGTTGTACAGTTTTCATAAATGTCTGTGGTGAAGCAACGGAAAAATCATGGCCGTGTGATTTTTCCTGATTGATTGCTTATGTTGTTATTTTCATAATTTGCCAAATTAATGTAAATGTTTGATGTTAAACTTTGATTCTGTAAATAAATGACCGCATTCATTTTGATGGGTCAAATATAAATGACGTCTCACGTTTGCATTTCATTAAATTCAATGCACGTTTTATTCAGTTCAGAAAAATGAGGAATCCGCGTTAATTGATGAATATATCTGAGCATCTGTTCATCTACAGGTGCATAAACCACCTGATTGGTTTGAGGCACCTAAACTGTTTACAGGGTGAGGTTGAAACACTTAAACTAACAGAGAAGCAGATGCAAGATCCATTTGAGGCACATAAACCATGAGGTTAAGTTAAAGTGAAGTTAAAAAGTATGTGGTCACTCAAAAATAAATTTTATGATTAGAAACACATCATGACTTGACTTAATACATCTTCTCGCAGTGTCTTCCAAGTCTAAAGCAGCGACATGCTAAAGAACCTGCAAAATAAATAACTGAGATGCAAGCACAATCATTTGTTTATGTAATTACTGTACAATTCATTTAACCTTTTATTTATACAGGTTAGTCTCATTGAGCCTTGAGGACTCATTTACAAGAGAGACCTGTTTTAAACAAATAGCACAGATGAGGTACAGACAACAATAGACAATCATAAAAAGCATAAAATGGACAGTAAATTAAAGAAATGGTATTAAAACGAAACAAAAACAGTTACACTGTGAAGCAATGTAAAATACTAAAAACAGGAACATGTGCAATGGTTTTTGCCATGAACTTAACAGATGTTTAAAATCCCTTAGTGAGGTCAAGGTCGAGAGCTTCAGATCTTTTTGAAAGGTGTTCCAGGAAACAAGAGCAGAGTAAGAAAAGGCCCTTTTGCCATATTCAGTCTGCACTGAGGGGTCACTGCAGGTAATAATATCCTGAGAGCACAATGACAAAGTGACATGTAGGAGGAGATACTGTATATGAAGGCAACAGACCAAGGCGTGATTTAAAGATGAAAATGTACCAGTGAGAGAGTCTGTGTGAAGTTAATGATGACCAGTTAACCAGTGAATACAGGGTGCAGTGATGGGTATGATAGTTACAGCCAGCATCCAACATCTGCAAGGTACTTGCAAGAGTGTTCATGTAAATAATGTCACCGTAGTCAGTGGAGAGAAGGAACGTAGCAGTTACAAGGTGTTCATAGTTAGCAGGATCTATTTCTGGAAAATAAACACAGTTTTACTTTCAATTTCTTTTCCAAGTTTTCGACATGAGGCTTAAAAGGGAGATGCGAATCAACCAAAATACCCAAATATTTGTAAGAATCAACAAACTCAATAGGAACACCATTCATAGATAAGATAGAAGGAAAAATTGCTGGTGCCGACGTCCTGTTTGAAAATAGCATCCCTTTGGTTTTATCAGCATTTAGCACCAGCTTGAGATGGAACAAACTGGATGATGAATGTAGACTGGAAAAGCTGGAAAACCTTAGCAACTGTTCTAGCTCGACAATAAACAACTGTGTCGTCAGCGTAGACGTTCATCAGGAATGATCTGGCCTGACAATATATTGAAAGTCAGGGAAGGTATTACAAAGCAAGCTCACAATGTGGTGTATCACAACTTTAAGATGCACAATTTACACTTATACTAAAAATTAAAGTCTTCTCTACTTTAACAGTATTTAAAATTGAGATACAAAGCTGTGTGCCATTTTCATCATATTTTAAACCTGTTCAAATCCTGCGAGACTGTAGGTTTGACTCACTCTGTCTTGTAAAAAGCAGTTTAGAGAATAATACAGATACTTTTTCTTTCTCTGGCCTCAGTTTAGATTTGGCTTTGAGTCTGTTTAAGATGGATCTCGACCCAATCTTTAAACATAGACTTTATCTCCTTTAGGAATCACTTCTTAGTGGTCTTGACTACAGCCCTGTCTACACCAGGAATTCTCCTTGTTTGACTTGTTTCTTGAATTCCCAGCAGATTAGGTACACTACTTATGCTCATCTGAACAAAAAGGATTTTTTTTTTTTATTTCTAGTGACCTCCTGTGCAAGTATTGTCTATGAAGCCTGTGTTGTAGTTGTAAGCTGCCTTGCACGCTGTGTAAATATCTGGCGTCAGCTGTAGACCCAGTACGAGAACTCTGGCATGTTTAAAGAACAGCCGCCAAATCCTGAAAGTTACGAAGCGTCGTTTTCTTTTCAGATCTCGTTCGTGTATCTGTTTATTATGAATTGAATTTAATAGCTGGAGAAAAAATATCCTTGTCTCAATGTTGACAAATCCTTGTTTGAACATCTCCTCCTGCATTTTCTTCCCCGTGTGCCTCTCAGACCTGCAGGCCTCCCAGTCCTTTGAACACTACAGCATATCAGACAAGGCCATGGACTACAGGATCCTGCACATGGACGAGGACCAGGACAGGATGTATGTGGGCTGCAAGGACCATGTTCTCTCTATGGACCTCAACAACATCACCCACGGCACTCTTAAGGTTAGCATGTGGTTAGAGTTAGTGTTTTGGGGAGGAAAAAAAAACTACAATCCTGTCATTTATCGCAGGCTTATTTTACTCAACGAATAATGAAGCAAATGAACAGAAAAAATTAATAAATTATTTTGCATTCATATGCAAATCGCTGTTTATTTGCTATGATCAGTGCACGTCTGGGGGTATTTGAAAGACCACATAAAACTACCCAAGCACGTTTATTATCAATTGTGAGTGCAGTGATGGAATTATCTTCTGCATAATTGTCAGATATGAAATGCACAAACGAATGAGAGAGCTTTTAGGTTCACCTGAGAGTGCTGCTCTCAAGTTTTGTTTTCTCTAAATTGCACATTATATTCATTGGTCTGGACCTTTAAACCTGCATCTCCAGGTTTCAAAACACATTTTCCACAAATGATGGCTAGCTGCAATTACAGACGCTGGGATCTGTGTGTAACGAGAACAGTTTAAGAGATCTGTTCTGTTTGTTTTCCACAATTAGTTGCTGTAATTTTTTTTTATTTTTTTTTTTTTGCATAGAGGATAATTAAACACACAAACATGTTTATCTTCTCTGTTTCCAGTTACCTGTACACTCAGTCACTAATTTAAATGCTGCTTTGTGTTTATCTCCAGATGTTTTGGCCTGCGTCTACAAGTAAAATAGAAGAATGTCAAATGGCAGGCAAGGACCCAACAGTAAGAACAATGATTTTTTAAAAAGTAACTCATCTTTTTTGCTTTTTCAGCTTGTTTTTGTGAAAGCAACAACAACCAAAAAAAAAGACAATGACAAGATTTCCCCTCATTTTGTGGCAAAAAAAATAAATCACATGGGATTGTTTTTGTTCTCTAGATGTTTAAAGTTTGAAATTTCAAATTGAGTCCTTTTGAATGTTATTTCAATTCTAAGGTATTTATATAGATAAAAGGTTGCTTATCACTTGAGTTTGCTCAGTGGTCCAATGTTAAATGGCTTAAAACAGTTAATTTCTTCTGAAAATGATCAAATACTTCTGTTCTGAAATGGAGGGGAACTGTGAACAATGTTTAAATAAAAACTCAGGAGCGCTTCAAGAAAATGACGACAAAGTTTGGCTCATTTGGAGGAAAATTTAAATATCTTTGTGATCTTTTGTTTGTCACAGAAAATAACGTTTCAAAACATAATTTACTGGTAATTATCTTGAAGAGGTGGGGAGTGTTGGAGCAGAGGTTAGAGAAGGTGGACCAGTGATCGAAGGTCGCCAGTTCGATTCCCGTACCAACATCAAAATGTGGGTGGGAAAGGTGAAACACCAACACCTGTCTCCACCCTTATTTACCCCACGCTGAGACCTTGAGCAAGGCCCTTAACCCCCACCATCTGCTTCCCTGGGCATCCTAGATAGCAGCTCTCTGCTCCACACAGAGGGCTGTGGTAGCTCAGTGGTCTGTGGTTGTGTCAGGAAGGACATCCGGCATAAAAATATTTGTCAAGTCTTCCTGCGAGATAGTTCGCTGTGGCGACCCCTGAAGAAGGGAGCAGCAGAAACAAAGAAAATAAAAATTTTGAAGAGGTTGATTTGAACAAATCATAATAAATTCAAAAAAAAAAAAAATTATCCATGGGGCAGCAGTTAAAGGAGGCGCGTAGCCCATACATTAAAAAATACAAAATAAAATACGTAAATGGAAAGAAAGGGCAATATGCATTATCAAGGTGCAAATGGGCAATGAGGTTAAGAGCTAAAATATGCCATGAAAAACAATCTTTTCCCAGTTCAGTATTTTTTTCCCCAGCTTGCTCTCAGCTAAGACGGACACTTTCTTTTCCCTCTCCTGCCTCCCTCCTGCGTTTGCTCTTATCCTGTGAATTTTTCTCAGAGCCTCTCTTTACACATCTTCCGAATCATCAGTTATGGATCTGATCAGCTGGTCTCTCAACGCAATTAATACAATTTTCTCGATGAGAAAACGGAGTGCAGGAGAACCCTCCTGCCCTGAAGGGACACACGACGTGTACATAATTGGATTACGACAACAGGATTATCTTCTTTTTGGAATCGGCAGGTACCTGGAACATCGACAAATTAGGAAGACATCGGCAGCAGTTTTGACAACGGTGAGGCTGCCTGCCTTATACGAAGGATTGTACTGTGCTTCAAGCGCTCAGACTCGATGCTTTGCAAGCCTGGAACTCGCTGGCATGAATCAACCTTGGAAAAGACCACAAGCACGGACCGGCAGAATGAACACAAATCTGGCTGTTTGGATTTGCCATTGAGTGTAGCAGCAGAAACCATGAAGGCAGACATGAAAATCAGTAGAGTCGGCCTGCTCCAAAATAATTGTTGTTTTCCTGAATATGGCTTCCCTGCTTGGCCTTCAATAGGCCAACTTATCTCAAACCGCTCCTGGAGGACATGTAAATCATGAAGCTCTGCTCCTGCTTCCTCCCACCACCACCACCAAAGAACATATGTGGGCCCTTATCAGAGCTGAGCCAGCTGATAGACACTGTGCCATCTTACCAGGACTATGGAACTTTCTGGCAGTGTTCACGGACAATCTCATTGCTTTGTTGGCCTCCCTCCCACTGTAAAATGTCTTATGTCTATTTTTGTTGCTTTTTTTTTGTGCTGAGGTAGTTTTTACCACCTTACACAGTGTCCTTTGTGTCAAGGACCGTGTGAGACCTTTTTTATACGTTCTTTCCTCATGTTTCTCTTCCCTTTTCTTTTCTAAACAATAAGGGCAGCGCTTCACGACGTTGCAGCCCCCATGCACCCCCGTCTACCCTTGTCTTTGGACAGCTGCACTGAAATGTATTTTTGCTGTGCTAACTGTGCAGTGACAATAAAGTTGACTGATTCCGACTAGACAAAATCATAATTTGTGAATTAGCATTCACCTAAATGTTCTCACAGTTAGGCAGTCTTAATTCTTTACACAACCGCTTCAGAACCATTAATGTAGTAAACCAAATCATCCAAGACGAATTAGAAAGTCAAAATTAATGATATTCTCAGCTGTTTTCTTTCCCATTCCTCCAAAAATATGCATTCAGTATTATCTATTGCATATGTTGGTTTGTGCAAGCTCTAGCAACAGATGTGCACAAGGTCACCAACTGAAGTCCTCCAGGCGAGAACTGTCTGTCCAAGAATAAGCTGTTCAACAATTAGAAGCCACAGAGTGTAGGAAAAAGTTGTATAAATCAAAGCTTATAAATAAACTCACTGACAGGGAGATTTAAAAGGTAGCTTGATTCAGAGCGGAAGCTGCAACACAAATTCAGTCTCTGCATTTGTTTTCCTTTAATTGGCTTCACCTGAAACACGTGTAAGCGCTACAATCTATAACACATAAGGAAAAAGGGGAAGTTTTTACTTGTGCGGAAATATTTTTATGCAAGTTCTTTATTTTCATGCCGTTATTTGCTTTATACAAAAGCATCACTTTGCTAAATGTTTGTTTGTGCACTTTATCTACCCCTGACATTCCGGGGAGAACTAGAGCCATGTTTTTGCACAGATTGCCCATGCAGGACCAGAGGAAGGACTGTTTCTAATAACCAAGTGATTTGTGTAGCTCTTTGTAATTGCACATCTTTTGCAGATACGGGGGAAGAGTGATTTCTGTGCAGAGTAGCTCCATGGCCTCACCATTTCCCCCCGCTGTCATTTTTACATCTCTTCCATGTTCAACTAGTTTCAGTTTCTGTTAATTATTTCTACCTTTGATCAGTTTTTTCATCACTGTTTCCTCAAAGGCTTTTCATTGCTCGACATAAAGCCGTCTTGCATCTGTAATGGTCACTCTCTCCATCTGTTTATATTAAATTCCTTTTCTCCAATAAGATCTGTGGATAAATAGCGCTCTAGAGAGCTTTGCTGTGGAAGAAAGAGCCATCAGAGGCCACTTGTAGATTGGCTACATTGTTTAAAATCAATTTGCTGCTCGCTCGAAGTGCTTCGAGTACACGTATGGGTTGAAACAGAGAAGAAAATGAAAAACGATAGGGTCGTATACATATGTGACTCTGTAGAACCGATCTGACCCGAACGCAGAGAGCATGTGGGTGTGTTGACAAAGAGAGAGAAAGAAGATGATGATAAATAACAAAGATGGTTGTGAGATGGTAAAATATGCAGTTGCAATATGTTGATGGTTCTCAGTGGAGTGTCGTGCACCAGCCGTGAGCTGCGCCAGCTGCCAATTCTGTAGTCATGTCCAACTTCCTGACAGCTCCCTTGGTGCATGTTCTTTACCTCCCCCGTATTTCTCCACTTCTCTTCCTTTTCATCTGATTTCTGCAAGTTCAAGCCTAATTAGCTTCAAACGTCCAGCACTTTCTGCTTCTGCATTTAGCAAGTGGAAGCACAGAGATTAGTTTTTGTTCTAACCACTGAGACTCTGTTTTTACTGATCAGTGAGCGCTGGGATTGTTTGATTGTGCCGTTGTACAACTGTAGTAACAGTGGAGAAAACTTGAATTTACTGGCGCATATAGAATAGCATGCAGAGGTAATAATTATGTACTACTTTTATTTTTCACATTAGGTTCCAGGAATAAAATCTTGCCTTTGGTATGTTTGATTAGTTCAATGGATCACAGAATAAATAAATAAAAATATGAAAGCAGAAGTATTTATTGTAGTACAGTACTGTAATACGTGCAGAGGAGAATAAAAACTGCTAAACCGATATTAGTTGTTTTCATTACAGTAATTCAAACAAACTAATTGTGTGGGACGAGAGTCAAAGTTGGCTCATGGGCAGAAAGTCAGCTGAGGTGGTTTGGGCATCTGATTAGAATGTTTCCCTTTAGAGGTGTTTCGGCATCGGTAAGAAGCCCAGGGGCAGACTCAGACCTTGCTGAAGGGATTGTGTATCTTCTCTGGCCTTTGGGACACCTCAGGGCCCCAGGAGGTGCTAGGGAGTGTCACTAGGGAGAACACAGTCTGGGGTTCTCTTCTGGACCTGTTGCTTCCGTGACTCGACTATGGATAAGTGGTAAAAGATGGAGATAGTTTTTGTGCCCTATGCTCATCTACTGTGTTTCATTTTATTCTAAATCTACTGCGCAGAATATTTTTATACTAGGTACATGGTTGTAACCAGTGAATTTTATGTGAAAATCAGATAAACCTAAATTAGCAAAAACAAAATTACATGTTTTTTTATCCTTTTTTGAAATGTTTTAAAACTTAAACTTGTAAAGAACCATCTTTTCTTAAAAGTATATACAACTTGACTAGTTGTCTTGTTAAGATAAGATAGAAGTTTATTGATCCCACAGGAAATTGTTGAAGGTAATGTTAAACCAGTATTGGCAGTTATTGAGTAGCAAGCAAGCTCCTGAAAATATGTGTGTGTGAAAAAAACAATAAGAAAACTATTTATTTATGTATGTGTTTGTTTGTTTGTTTGTTTGTTTATTTTTATTTGTTTGATTATTTATTCATTCATCCATTTATTGTAAATTTACTAGCATATTCTAGTCACTGAATTATATAATGACAGTTTACAACTAAAGTCATCTTACGGCAACACACACATACACACAAAAAAAAACAAACAAAAAAAAACAAGTCCAAATCATGAGTTCTGTTTAGAACCAGATTCAAAATCAGTTGTAGTCAATTCAGTTCCTATTATAATACAATACAGTTGCATCAGTAAATTATGAAATGTGAAATGCATGAAATGCCAATTAGTAAAAGTTATTGATCTGTGGAACTCGCAGATTGTCTCTAATTTTCATTTTGTTGCAATTGTTTATCTTGAGCAAGGAGGCGACAGTGGAAAGGAATGACTCTCTTTTAACAGGATGAATATTCTGTTTTGTTTTGTTGTTCAGGGTAAAGTTACCTCATAGACATTGCATGACCAGTTCAAAGATGAAGCAAAACCTTTTTAAAGCTTGTGCCATTTCCCAATCAGTTATGACTTTTGTTAAAAAAAAAAAAAAAAAAAAGCCTCTGAACCATCAGGCTGAAAACTCAAAAATCATAACAATAAATGTTTTTCATGACAGACTGCAATTTTTAAACTGAACTCCCCTTAATAGATTGTTTGAAATGTTTCCCTTTGTTTATCTGTGCTTTGCAGCACGGCTGTGGGAACTTCGTGCGGGTGGTGCAACCATACAACAGAACTCACCTGTTTATGTGTGGCAGTGGAGCATACAGTCCTGTCTGTGTGTACATCAACAGGGGCCGAAGACCAGAGGTGGGTTTACCATGACGGATCCACTTTTGTGAGGAAAATGAATGAATAAACCGCAACTAAGAGGGTATGGAATGACACCACATCGTCATCTGCAAAAAATATTGAACATGTAAACCTGCTATAATCCAATTGCAGCATGAATGAAGTGTCGCCATGTGTTTGAGATTCTATAACTTGTAGGAACCGAGCATCATCAGCTGCATACCTCATGAGATGAGAGAATAGGAGGTAGAAAGCTGTGGTCTGGTGTGTTCTGGGCTCTCATATCCGGCCACACAGCTCTGGAGGTTTGAGCAGGAAAGCCCTCCAGGAGAAAAGTGCTCCACGAGTGAATGTATTCCCCCACGAACCACTGCCAAAACGCTAACAAGCAGAAAGCAAGACTCTCTTCTCACTGTGGTGCATTTTGTCGTGGTGCCTTTTTGTCAACTGGGGCTTTTGTTAGAAAAGGCAGACTGCTCTGTTTGCAACCCCTGAGCTCAGTGATGTCTGTGTCTTGAGAAAAGAGATCTGTTAGGAAGACACTGGTGAAATACGAGCGGACTACTGCTCTGAAAGTGTGTCCCGAGCTGTTACGATATTTTAAAACGCAACAGGAAGGAGACATGTCATTTGCACCTGAAAGCTGTTTTGTGTCTTTCTTTCTGAGAGATTAGTTCATTTTTCCCTCCATCTTTGCAGGGTGTTTGGATTTAGTTTTATAGTATCCAATTATCATATCATAGCCTTCCAGCTGCACTGTGTCCACCTCCATCAGATTTTGGCAAACGAGACACATTTTACTGGAATTATTCTGTTTGGCTGATGTCGTCCAATATGATATATTTTGTTGGATGGGTCAGAAACTGCTGTGATTCTCCCAGGTTACTCTTGGACTCTGACACAAAAAGGGTGTAGTAGCTTGGAAAGATGGCTGTTCAACACATTAGCTTGGAAATTCCTCCCTTCCTCTAAAATATTATTAAATAAAAGATTTGTTTCTTTTTTTGGTGGCCCATCCAGGCCAGTTAAGGTCAACTAAGATAGGCTTGTCCCTGTGCATCCTTTAAATCCACTGGAAGGACACCCTGGCTGCTTTGTAGGACATTTGTTTAACTCGTCAGTTTTATTGTGGTAGAAGACATTAGATGGAACAAATACATAATTTTTCCAACATGTCTGACTTTTGTTTCCCTTTTTCTTTGTGGCAGGAACAAGTATTTTACATTGACTCGAAGACTGAACCCGGAAAGGGGAGATGCTCCTTCAATCCTCGAGTAAATACAGTCTCTGTCATGATCAGTAGGTGCTTTCATCTCTTTTTAAACCTCTGTAAACTTAACTCTTTTTAGGATCAACACTGAAAACATAGTTATAGACAAAGCTTTTTCCTTAGTTCCCAGGAGAAATGTGATAGTCAGCCTGCTTTCGAGGCCAAACAGGGGAGTCAGATTCAGATAAGCCACAATTGTTGATTTCTTCAGGCAGACTGTTTTTTTCTCATCAGCCTTGAGTCCTGCTGGAACTTTCAATCCAAAATGGCCAGATTTGAGGGCATTCCACTGATCCGTGCTATGAGCCTCCTTCAAGGTCGTCTCCAACATGCTGGCGAGTCCTAGAAGCTGCAGATGGAATGTGATTCTCACAAATCTCTTCCATCTTACGGTTTAGCTCGTAAATCAATTGATTTTGAGTACTCGTAGCATGAACCAAACATTCAAGGCAGCCAGCCTGACGAGGGCCAAATTAGCTGCAGCCGTCTTCTTTGCATGTTGATAAACCAGAAACCAGCCGATTACAAAAAGCAGGAAACCTGTTATCATAAATCCAATTATATATGTCTTCAACGTCCTCCTGAGACAAAATGGAAAGACACATCAGCTCCCACCTCCATGACATATCCTGCAGCGTGAGTCTCAGGGGGTCATGAGGGCTCTCCAGGACCCTGTTGCTTTGTTGAAAATATTTTGTCGATTGCGTTGAAAGTCCAGCTCACCAGATCCATAATAAAAAAAATTGTTCAGAACATGTGTAACAGGAGCTCCAAGACACAGATGGAGAGCAAAAAAGCAGGAGGAAGAGGAGAAAAGGGGAGGGAGAGAAAATGTGGCCGCCTTGTATGAGAGTGAGTGCAGAAAAGAGAAGTTGCTAAACTTCATTGTAATTAATGACCAACTGCTATCAGTTGTAGAAAATGAAGGATTTCACAACTTGATACTTGCAGCCAAGATATAGTTTACCCTCCAGGAGAAATTTATCAGTACAACAGTAGACA